AACATAGAAGGAAAACAAAAATATCCTGCAGAAAGTATTCATTTGAGGAAGAATACAGAGTTAATACAGTGTTAAGTTGAGACTATTGGAAAGATCAGCAGCTCTTTATGAAGCTATGGGAATCAAAGGATGAAACTCCAAGCATGAAGCACCACACAGTGGTTTAGAAAAGAAAACCAAGTGTGCACTTTAAAAAAATGCATCTACAAATGAGAACGTAAAGCATTTTCACTGATAGCAAATAAAAATGTGTTTGGTACACTTCTACACTGAGGCCTTATTAATTTAAGATTCTGCAAAATTTAAATGATAAAAAGAGCTATATTAAAGAAACTGGTCTACCAAACGCAGAAGGGAAGCTGGATTTGCTACCTAGTTCAATAAGCTTAATATAAAATAAGAAAATAATGAAGTATTTAGAAAAGTCACATATTTCTATGATGTGAAGAATAAGGAATCATCCATGGGAACATGTCGCTTCATGGTAACATTATTTTTAAATACATGAAATTCTGCTTTGCAGTCATATTAAGTTTGAAAGGCAGGATAAGTATTTTTCATAGCAAAAGAAAAAGCCTGATTGTGATATTATCAGCAATATTCCTACAACCTGTTAATATGTTAAAAATTTAACTGACATAGAGCCACATTACAACTATCAGTAGTACAGTAACATTACCAAAGGAACAAAAACAGCAAATGTGTGTTTAAAAAACAGAAGAGTACCATAAACAAATGAAAGATTGTGTGAGATAAGAGGAATGGGGAGAATTTGAAGACATTAGCATTCATTTAAAATGAAAAACAAGGAACAGAAGAGTATGCTGAAATAATCAGCTGTTCTTCATTTCTTCTGAGCAAAACAATGTTACATCGAAACTGTTTATCCTGCGAAAAACATTCATTTTCACCTCAGTACAACACTACACAATAGCTGATTACTCTTTGAGTGACATGTTCAGAATTTTAATCAGCAAACTCATTTCACAACAAAACCATTTTGAATATTTTTGAAAGATAACCACTGATACAAAAATATTAGCAACATAACTGAAGAATTAACAATGTTTACAAAGAAGAAAGGTATTATAACGAAGTACAAGAGGTAGAGGAGAAAATAGAAGTATACAACGAATAGCTTTTAATAAGATACATGCAGAGGTATAAACCATTGGCAGGTCAGTTATCATTACAACAGAAAAACAAGGATTTTCCTAAATATAATTATAAAATGTACTCAGTTAATTGAAGCGTGCAGAACAAAGGGAACAGAAATAATAGATGAAACAAACAGAAAATAAAGAGGAAGATGATATATTTAAACCTCATCACATGAATAATCATATTAAAAGTGATCCACCTGACCCAGTTAAACAGCAAGATGTAGGTAATATGTTGTCCACAGGATGACCACTTTAGATGTAAAGGCACAAATGTTTTAAAAAGGATGGGGCAAGTGTTACACTGAGCAGCTGGGATGGCTTCATGCCACCTCCAAGTGCTAGATCTCAACCCTTAGCTCCAGTTGCTGACCCCAGCTTCCCACCAGTGTAGACCCAGACTGAGTTCTAGGTTCCTGGCTTTGTCTGGCCCAACCCTGTCTGCTGCGAGCACTTGAGGAGTAAACCATCAGATGAGACATCTCTCTTCCTCTGCCTTTCTAATGAAAGTAAAATTTAAAGACTTAAAAATCCATAGCAAATATGAATACAAAATTCAATCTTTGATTTTTACCAGTCACACCAATTGAGACAGGAGGTGCTAGCTTATTTGAGGCTTAGTAGAAACTTCCATAAAGGCAGAGATCCACCTGAATTTGTATTATGTCTCAAATTAACCTAAAACATGCTTTGTGGATTTTTAATAAAATCATTGAGATTATCAGAAAGATTGAAATTCTTCTATGTGTATCAAAAGGGATACAGCAGCAGGACATGATTGTTGAGTGACACAAATTAGACACAAAAATGTAAGAACTGAACGTTCTCCCTTACATGTGGCAGCTAAAATTTAAAAAGAAAACAAAAAAAAATGTAAATATAGCTTTGTCAAACTGGTTTGTATCTTTGTCAAATTGACAGTTGAGTGATACACTCTCAGAGTTTTAATGATCTTTGACTATTTTAAAATTTACTATATATGAAAGACATCTTTTTATTAGATTATTATTTTCGGCCCTTACCTAAATTCCCACTGAACTATGATCTTTTTACTTTTTACCTGCTGAGTTCTTTACTTACAGGAGCATTAAGTTTTTGACTATAATAACAACAAAAAATATATTTTTTCAAAGGAAGAAGCAAAAGAAGGGAGAAGAAAGGGAGGAAGGAAGACAGGACAGAATAGAAAAAGAAATAAAGGGAAGAAAAAAGGAAACTAAGGGGGAGAAATGAAGCATCCTATGTTGTTGTATTTATGAACTTCACTGAATCTGTTCTTTATGTTAATATCACACTAACACAAGAATTGTTTTGCAGAAATTACCATGCATTTCCTGTGCCCTTGAGAACCTAATGTATTAATGAATTTCTTAAAACTGGTTTTTAAAAGTCAAAATTTTTAAAAATTAAAAAAGAAAGCAAGATTAGTATGTTTCCAAATTATTTATGATTTTAACAATCAACTTATGACTTTCTCTTGCCCAGTATCTATGTCACCATGCCTGTGATAATTCCAATTTTGACATTCGTTCTGCACAGAATAAATTTTGATGTGCTTTAGTCTCATATTTTATGCAATCAAATGAGAATGTGTCGATTTGACTTGGGATCTTTCTATTTTGGGTTCAGACTAAATAGAAGTGAGAATTTCAGGTAACTAAAGAAAGCCCCACAGAAGTAAAGGTGCATGGTGGTGATATGTTCATTGGGGAACTGTACCAAGTAAGTGCTGGGGGCTTCCAGCTCCAGCTGTGATTCTACTCTGTAATGCTGTGGGTGGGAAAGGGGGAAAAGGGCACGTTCCTGAAGTGAGTAATAAAGGAAGGCACGATGGATTTTTATTTCATACAAAATAAAAAGTCATATGAGTCTCTGCTATGATCTGAATCCTGTTCACTTTCCTAGCAGGAAAAAATAAATCCCGCTTCTAGCATTCTTATGATCTTTCCATCTATACAGAGTCCAAGCCTGCAAAAAATATTTCAAAACTTAAATGATTAAACCTTGTAACGTCTTTTTAAAAAATCACTAATTTATTTAAAACTTTCATTACAGAGAATACAGGGGAGACAGAGAGGTCTTCCATCTGCTAATCCATGCCCAAACAGCCACAATAACCAGGACTAGACCAGGCTGAAACTAGCAGCGAGGTGCTTCATCCAGGTCTCCCACACGGCTGGCAGAGGTCCAAGCACTTAGGCCATCCTTCTCTGCTTTCCAGGCCATGAGCAAGGAGTTGGATCACAAGCCAAACCAATACAGGAACCAGAGTTCCTATAGGATACGAACATCAGTGGTTTGGATGACAATGGCCTCAGTATATGATTCAACTGCATCCCAGGCACATTAGCAGGAAGCTGATTAGAAAACAAAGCAGAGGGCCTGGCACAATAACCTAGGTGCTAAATCCTCACCTTGCATCTGCCAGGATCCAGTAAGTGTGCAGGTCCATGTCCTGGCTGCTCCACTTACCATCCATCTTTCTGCTTGTAGCCTTGGAAAGCAGTAGATGTTGGCCCAAAGCCAAAGCACCCACGTGGGAGATTCAGAGGAAGCTCCTGGCTCCAGGCGTTTAGATAGGCTCAGCTCCAGCCATTGTACCCACTTGTGGAGTAAACCAGCAGACAGATGGAAGATTTTTCTGTCTGTATCTCCTTCTCTCTGTATATCTGCCTTTTCAGTAAAAAGTATTTTAAGAAAATGAAAGAAGAAAATAGAGATGACTTAAACCAGTGCTTCAATTTGTGATTAATGCATTGCAAGCTGGCCCCAGCCTATTTCTTAAAAACCTAAATAGGGATGGTATTTATTAAGGTAATTATAGCCTGGAACATAGTGAGCACTCCCCCCAGAAAACCAAGAGTTACTGTTGAACTGTAAAATCCTTGAGCAAAATTCTCTCAAGAAACAAAAATTATTGTTGAGGCACAGTGGGTAAAACCAGGCACTAGTTCATGTCCAGCTGCTCCATTTCCAATCCAGGTTGCTACTAATGTCTTGGAAAAAAGCAGCAGGAAGATGGCCCAATTGCTTGGGCTCCTACCACACTAATAGGAGACCTGGCCGAAGCTTCTGGCTTCTGCCTGGCCCAGCTCTGGAGTGAAACACTAGATAGAAGCTCTCTGTGTATATGCCTCTCTCTCTCTGTGTGTAGCTGAGATTTTCAAATTAAAATTATGCAGAGCAGCATGAACACAATGCATCCTAACAGAAGCAATATCTGAAAATTAGATTTAAGCAAGTGAACACTTTTAGAACAGCAGAGAAGTCCTAGAAATGAATTATAATAAGGGGAGAAGACCTAGTTTAAGTTCCAGAATTGGCATATTCCATAACCGGCTGGTTATTTCATTCTGGCTGACCATTTTACGGCATGTAAATTGAACATGTCCTATATACTCAGTGAATGTATACTGAGAATCCAGTCAAAGATGTTGTCTGCAACAGAGTTTTCAATACTTTGATAATAAATGACCCTTTTCAATCTGAGGAATAGCCATAAAATTGAATGGTATTTCTAAATTCATTAAGCACTAACCCTCATGGTTTTTCTCTAATGAGAAACAGACAAAGTAAATATGGCTCTTCAGGGCATTTGTTGTATCAGAACCTAAACTGCAAGTTCAGCATTCATGGGATTCCTCCACTACTCCCACTCTGGCTCCACATCAGTAAGGGACTCAATGAGAAGCCCAGGTCTACTTAAAGAGACCCAGTGCCACAAAGCTTTGAACAGTTGACTGCTAAAATAAATATTGAAGCTTGATATATTTTTCCAAGAAAAATACCATTGGTTTTCATGTTCTTATTCCATTAAAGATGATCTGATTTGTTTCACAGGTCTCCTGTTATGGCTGGAGGTCTCTTTGCTGTGGATCGAAAATGGTTTTGGGAGTTAGGCGGCTATGATCCAGGCTTAGAAATCTGGGGAGGAGAACAATATGAAATTTCCTTTAAGGTAAGCCACAAACATCGGCTGCCCACTGTGCCTGCATAATTTGACGATTCTAATGGAATATGATCATTGTGCACTGTGATATATGTTGTAAAATGGATTAACATAAGTAGAATATGTCACCTTCCCAAGTGAGCATGGATGAGGCGAGTTATTCCACTTCCTGCTGATGTTCCAGAGAGATACATTTTAACTGAGAGTAAACTTCCATTTGCAAGTAGGAAGCTCGGTGTGTCAACAGGCTTCTTGCTCCCCTGACATATACCTTCCTTGTGAAGCACTTAGAACTTGTAAGAAGTAAGAGGTATTAGGTTGAAGCAAATAAAGCTGTGGTAGTTTTCCACCTCCTTTGTTCTAGCAAGAGCAGTTCAGATTTTAATCATAACCATTCAAAATTCCAAAGAGAAGTAACAAAAATAAATGACAAGTCGAAACTTCTCCATGTAACTCTCAAATTCTTGAGTTTCTGATTTATTTTATTTGAAATTACTCAGCTGTTTCCTTGCTTTGACCAGACATTTTAAATAAAATTATATACTTCATTGCATACGCACAGAAGACACACACGTTTATAAGAGAGTATCAAATTCTATGATTTATGGGTGAAAAAATTACCATCACATACAAAGAATTGTTACGTAGAGCACAATGAATTGAAAAAACTATATAACTCCAGCTTTCTGAGATTTGTAAAGTAGTCTTTTTAAGAGAAAACAATTCATTTTCCTCCTAATCATTATTTATACAGAAGCATAGAATAATTCTTGCAAGAGTTATTATACAGAAACATTTAAGTCCGCTTTTTAAAATTCCTTCTATTATAAAATCAAACCATTTCTTTCTGAAGGAAAAAAAAGTATATCTTATATGTAATAAAAGTCATAAAACCAGACTTTCACTTTTTCTAAATTTATTTGAGAGGCAGAAAAGGAGACAGTCAAGGGGGAGGTAGGAAGAGGGAGAAGGAGGGGGGAGAGAGAGAGGAAAAGAGAGAGAGAGAAGGGGGGTGGGAATCTTTCACCTCCTAGCTCACTCCCCAAATACCCACAACAAACAGGGCTGGTCAAGCCAAAGCCGAGAGTGTAGAACTCCATCTGCGTCCCTCCTGTGAGTGGCAGGAACGAAACACTTGAGCCATCACCTGCTACCCTTTAGCATTAACAGGAACCTGACTCAGAAGCAGAGATGGGACTGGCATACACACCAATATGGGCACTATCATACAAACACATCTGACTTCACATCTCGCATGTTTTTGAAAACATTTTTCTAGAGGCATTATTTAAAGCTTTGGATTTATCAATTTCTTTTGGATTCTCCTGTTACAGAACTAGTTTTATACCTGTTATGATGCATATAACCAAAGATGATATTAACAATAGTTATTGTTTAGGAATAGAATCTACATCACTCAGTGATGTACAGAGGCTGCACAAGACATTTCATGTGCACTACTCAATTTCAAATCCAAATTCTAAAATGTGAGTATCTTCATTCTATTCTTAAGATGAGCAGACTTTTAAGATTTTTATATTAAGGGTTTTGTTTTTGTTTTAACTTTCAAAGGTGAAGTAAATCACCTGTTGCCACTTGCGGATTAACTGGATCCATTTTTGTTTAACTATACACACTGCAAAAACAAAATAGTATTACATTCAAGTCACCTACCAACACCATTCTCAAGTTTCCTGTTAAGGTTTTAATCTTGACCTAATGGCTTCTCTCATTGAACAGCAGGGAACATTTTCATCACAGTGTAATAGTGCAACAGAAAACAGCTGATCCTGGCAAAATGATACTGATCATCCAATACTGCCTAAATATCAGTTGAGTGCATGGCCTATAATGCTTTGAACTGGATAGATACCAGCATTAAAAGAAAAAAGGCATCACTGAACAATCAAGATAGCAGAATAGGGTAAAGACACATTTAAATAGATGGAGAAATATTAGCCAATGTGAAGAAGAGAGGACACATTCCAGGAAATAGGAGAGGACAGAACAACAGCAGAAAGGTACCCAGGGACTGAAAGATACAGAAAAACAGCAAAAACAATGGTGTGGTGTTGCAGTGACTGATACGCCAGCAGCATTCAGCAAGCTGTGATATGAACTCTACCCACAGCCAGAACTCCACCAGCAACAAGGTGGGAAGGGACGATTATTGGGAGCTCAAGAGGTGAACCCAAAGAACTGCTTGTCCTGCTGGCTTGTTTGATTTGACCAGGAGCAGAGACAGAGCAGCAGGTCCCAGATGGGTGGTGGGTGAACAGGGAGGATTTCCCAGCCCAGTCCTCCTCCTAGAGCCAAATTAGGCACCGTTTTGTTTAAGGAGGCAAGGGTTATGGGGCAGGACTATGCATGCACTGGGCTGGGAGTAAACTTATTTCTGGCTCAGGGAACTGCAACAACATGGTATCCTACACATTCCACCCAAGACAGGTCCAGGTAGCCCTCAGAAGTGACAGCCAGCAGATTAAGAACTCTAGCAGCGTTGCATCAGGCACCATTTTGTACACTGTGGCAAGGGCTTTGAGGCTGTGGGGGCAGTGCTGAGCTGTGCATACACTGAGCTGGGAGTGAACTCACTGAGTTCAGTGCATTGCACTGATCCCACAGGAAAATAATACTGACTTTGGCATCATATGGGTCAAAATAGGTCCATGTGGCCCTCAGACCTAACGGCCAACAGGTTCCAGCAAGATCACCACCAACAACAACTTGGCTATATAGGACAGCTGGTGTCTCCCTAATCTTGGGACCTACTCCAACCAGAAACAAGAGAAATGTTGTACAGACAATAGTGCAGCCTCAGCACAATATCACAGGAGGTGCAGACTGGAGAGCTAAGAGCTGGGGCTACGAAGACCATGGTGGAAATCTAACATAAGAACCTAGACCTGGAACCCGCTGGAGAGAGTGGCACAAGTGACTGCAAACAAAGAGCCATGTACCCACTGCAATAAGTAAAATCAAACTGTAGACCTGTGGGTGACACAGCTTACAAACCTGCCCGAAGGAGAAGAATCTGATAACCAGAAGTACAATGACCAAGAGCAAAAGAGACAGAGGTACAATGAATATTACTGAAGACTCCCCTGCAAAAGAGCAAAACTCTTTGCCAACCTCAGAGTTCACTAAGGAAGACATAAAGAAAATGGGGACACAGAATTCAAAGCACTTGTTATAAAACTTATCAACAATGAGAAGCACATAAAGCAGGCATTCAAGGAATTCAAGGAATATGTCACACTAGAAATGAATCAACTGAAAGCTGATATACCAGAAATGAAGAATACAATGGAACAAATGAAAAGTACAGTAGAGAGTCTCCAAAATAGAATGAAGGAGGCAGAAGAAAGAAACTCAAAATTAGAAAATAATTCCTGTCATCAGGGGGAAACAAACAAAAAGGTGGAAGCAGAGCTGGATCAGGCCAAAAAAGAATTGAAAGACACTATTAAGAAGTCAAATATAAGAGTTATGGGAGTCCCAGAAAGTGGGAAAAAAAACTGGGTTTACAAATGTATTTAATGAAATAATAAGGGAAAATTTCCTTAATCTAGAGAAAGAATTGGGAAACAAGATCCAGGAAGGGCACAGAACTCCCAACAGGGTTGATTAAAAGCAATCTTCATCAAGACACATGATAATCAAACTCTCTTCAATCGAATATAAGGAAAAGATCCTTAAATATGCACATGAAAAAAAAAATCAACTAACAAGGAATGCCAATTAAACTCACAGGAGACCTCTCACAGGAAACTCTACAGGCCAGAAGAGAATGGAGCAACATACTCCAGATTCTAAAAGCAAAAAATTGTTGGCCCAGGATAAAGTACCCAGCAAAACTTTCCTTTGTCTTTGAAAATGAAATACAATTCTTTCACAGTAAAGAAAAGTTAAAAGAATATGCCTCTTCCAAACCTGCCCTACTTAAAGATACTCAGAGATGTTCTCTTAACAGAGAAAAAGCATAGTGCCCACCAAAACCAAAGGCAAATGTGAAGAACATCCCAGTAAAATAACAGAAGACTAAATCAATGAACAACCCATTGCTAAAATGACAGAACCAAATTACCACCCATACATATTTACCCTGAATGTAAACAGTTTAAACTCATCAATCAAACGTCATAGATTATTAGACTGAAGTAAAAACCAAACCCATCTATTTGTTGCCTACAGGAGACACATTTCACCAACAAAGATCAGCAGAAACTATATCTTATGCTTTTTGATGTTTTTTGTTAGTTTTATCTCTTGAAAACACTTGCTTCTGGTTAAATTCTTCAATGACTCATGATAATATAGAAGCATCATTTTCTTTAAGAAAGTTCTTGATTTTCTTTTTCATTTCTTCAACGAGACATTAGTCATTCAGTAGAATGTTATTTAACTTCAAGGTGTTGTAAATTTCTTTTTTTTTCTTCCTGTTTTTTGATTATGTTTTGTGGCTTTTCATTTAAGGGGATGTACAGTAACTGTGTAATGGAGACTATCATATCCGGATGTGAGGATACAATGCAGTATGCATCTCTACTTCTAGACAAAGATGGACTCCTGATGAAACTGTTTACTATATCCTGACAATAGGATGCTGGCCTCTCTGCCATTGTCCAGGCCAGCAATAGTGGACATATGACTGTGTATGAAGAACTATACTATAGTAAAGATATATGGGAACTCAGTGAGAGGGCAGGGATTTGGGGAGGGGTTAAGCGAAATCCCAGAGCCTATGGAACTGTATCATATAATGATAATAATAAAAAGAAGTAAATTTTTTTTTAAAAAATGACATCGATGAACCCAATATTGTGGGTTAATGATGGGGGCGGGTTGGAAACAGCCACCTACACTGCCAGCAGCCCACATGGGTTTGTGTCATGGCTGTTTTACTTCTTATCCAGCTCCCTTCTAATGGCCTAGCAAAAACAGCAGAGGATGGCTAAAATGTTTGGCCCCTGCTTCCCATGTGGGAGTCCCAGATGAAGCCAAGTTCC